TAGGTTAGGTTAGGTAGGTAGGTAGGTAGGTAGGTAGGTAGGAGGTAGAGAGAGAGAGAGAGAGAGAGAGAGAGAGAGAGAGAGAGAGAGGGGGGGGGGGGGGCAGGGATCAACTTTGAGGATGTTGGAACTAGGTTTAGAGAGGCTCACTTTGAGGTTGATAGTGTAGTGGTCTGGATTTTGGATGTATAAGAGAGGTGCAAATCGTGTTACTGTGTATTTAAAATACACATGATCATTCCCCATAAGAAAAAGAATCCAATTTGAAGCAATATTGTCATTTTTTTAATGTTAATTTGAATTTGGAAAATAAAATCATAAACTACAAATAGATCTAAAATCTAAATTAGGAGTGAAGAGCTATTTGCGTGGGTTCTAAAGATGTGTAAGTTGAAAGCCATATGGTTCGACAATGAGCCATATATGAATATTAGATTGATCTCTTTTCTGGAATACAACGGAAATATTTCAAGACAAGTGATTTATAAGATTTGGTCATGTTTAAAGTTTTGAGTGAGGTGTGAATAAGGTGTCCACCGTATATTGTACAAGTAAGATATATTTGAAAGATCTTGATAATAGATGGTTCAAATAACTTTTTACCGGTCGCTATTTTTAGGACTTGAAATTATTATTTTTTAATGTACATGCATTTTGAGCTGATTAAAAAGTTTGCCAACTTCATAATACTTTTTTCACTGAATTATTGAAGTGCATCGTACTTTCATAATATAAAGTTGCAACCTTATACAAACATTTTCCTTTAAAGTTTTTAGTTGTTTCTTTTTAAACTTCACATTACCATTTTTTAAAAAAAATTATACTCTATTGATGTAAGAATAGGATAAAATCCCAAAAAAAAAAAGATGTTGCAGATAATATGCCGATAAAATGCTTGCTAGCTTCCCATTAATGAAAGTTGTGAATAAGTATCTAAAATAGTAAGAACCTTTGACCGAATTGGCTGGCAAAAGAACATTCAAAAGTAGAGGGAAGACATCAATAATATGCTCAATCCATCTTTGAATCAACTAATTTACCACCAGAGTGGGTATTTTTTAAAAAGCTTATTTTAGATTATTTTTTGAAAATTTTGTTAAAAGGAAAATTTTCGTATAAAACCCTAATTTCTCATATTATTTCATGTTAGACTTTTCCTTTTTTCTTTTAAGCAGCATAAGGAAATCTCTAATGATTTCGCTATATTCCCGCATTTTTTATCTCCTTCTTTTATTGACTTTTGATTATAAAAATTAGTACCAACAATTGTTTTTATACCATTTCATCTCAAAGATTTTTTTAACCTTCATTTTCCCTTTTCACTTATTTAAAAAAGTTTTTGGGTCGAAATGGTATAAAAATATTTATTTGTGTTAATTTTTATAATCAAAAGTCAATAAGAGAGAGAGAGAAGAAATGATGGGGTATATTGAAATTTTTAGGGGTTTTTTTGTCTGGCTTGAAAGAAAAACATAATGAATGTCTACCATGAACTAGTTCGTTTGAGCAAGTGAACTAGGAACATATTTTTCATTAGAAAGCCTTAAAGTTTAGAACCAAAATAAGTGGGGTTATTTATGTCTTTTGGCTCACCTGATCTAAGTTGCGGAAAATAACCAAGTGCCCTACTTGTTTTGGGATTCAACTCAAAGTATTATTTTCTAATAAAAAGTTGTGGGATTATATAAGGCAGGAAAAAGTTTATATAAGGTTGCAATCTTAAAATGTAGACTTAACTATGCACCTCAAAATCCATTGAAAAATGTTTTAATGTTGAAAAACCCTATAATTGATCATCTCGACAATGTGAATATGAAAAAAATAAACGATTTTGAGTCCAAAAAATAGTGCATCTTGCAACACATTATCCAGATCGTTTATTTTCAAGATTTTCAAATATTTATAGATCTACTTGATTTTACCCATTTTTTGAGTTTAAAATTTTATGATTTGATATGAAAATAGATTTTGAGATAATCCTGATAATTTTAACACTAAAATTACATGTTATGATAAAATTTGGAGGTGGGCTTTAATTAGATTGTTTAAGGTTGCAACCTTATAGAAACTATACCCTATACTATAAGACTAATCACTTCTTTTTTTTTCTTTTTTTTTTTAGGTAATTCAATGGAGAAGATAGGCCCCTACCCGATTTTTCGTATAGATTAGGTAGTTAAACGTTTTTTTGCAGGTGTCACTAGGTGGTATCAACAGGATTGAAAACCACACGTGGTAACGAGGTATGAGACAACTTTTGAGGGTATTTATTTTGAATTTTGTGCCGAATTAGTGAGGCATCCCCAATAGCTCGAGTATATATCCAATGGTCAATAATGATTATGATCTTGACGTTTAAGAGGTAATTGGTCCCCTCATATACATTTTTGAAAGTCTTGGGTTTGGAGCCCGGATAAAAGCCAAAATAATTGTAGTCATTTGGCTCTGGTGAGTTAAATTATGTTATTATACCAAAATACTCTCAGTTCATGGTTACAAACATGGAAAAAGGCTACTTGGGTACTTTTAGTTCGATTAAAGCATGATTTTTTCAAAAACTCTATGTTCTTTTAAATTCGTGAAAAACTTCGACTTTTTTAAAGATCATAAAAAAAATATCTTTTTTTATTTTTTTAATGGAATCAGTATGTGTATTTTTACCTTTTAAAAAAACTTTTGCTTATTTTAATAACATTTTTAAGCTTTTCTTGGGTTTCCCTTTCTCTTCAATGATTTGAATTTTTTGAGTTCAGGTTTTATTGAATGGAAGGGTGCTCACACCATAGCAATGTTATCAAATTCACTTAGTTCCTGTCGAAGAGGCCGAAGCTTTCGGATTTTGGGTATAATCTGAAGAGGAGAAGTCGGATGTTGTCGCATCGGTCAGATTCGTGTTGCTTCGGCCAAATTCCGGCTGTTTCGGGCTTGCTTCGGATATGATTAGGGTTTTCTTCGGCCAGTAAAGAAATAGCTATATAAAAATATATTTTTTTATTTTTTCATTATTTATATTATATATATATATATAATTTATTTATACTAAATTAAAAAAAAAATCTTAAGCCTTCTCTCGAATCGGCCAAAGCACTGAATTGCTTCTTTTTTCTCACCAAACCAAATAAAACTCCGAAGTGAATCTGACAACATTGCACTTTAGAGCATTTTATAATTGTACTAAAAAAAATTTAGATACTTATATATTCTTGTTTTGTAATGCAATATTTTTTAAAAAAAGGTATTTTTTATCATTATGGGGGCCGTGACATCATTCATATGGGTGAGACATCACTCAAATAAAACATTAATTCCCACTAGTGTACTCCATGTGGGTGATATACATGGGTGAGACATCACTCACTTAAAACATTAAATCCTATTAGTGTACTTCATGTGGGTGATGTCGCACACCTTCTAATGACTAAAAATACCCTCATTATCAAAAAACCTCAATTAAAAAATGCTTCATGTACAAATAAAGGTACGTAAGTGTTCAAATTTTGCTAAATACAATTATAAAATCTGTGTAGTGTGAACACCTTAACATAACCATTTTAAGATTACCAGCCATCCTTATAATTAATTTTACCAATTAAAATTAAACTCATTTTTATGCTATACAAAAGGCGCCATTAAAATATTTTGCACCCTTTATTAATCAACATTTTACTCGATCGCATATAAATGATGGTTCAACATTTACAGTTTTACACAAATGGAACAACTTTCCTTCTTTTTCTTGTCACAATATCAACAAAAGACCCAAAAAAAACACAACTTATACATTCAAACTTTTGGGTGAGAAGCTCACCATGGTACTCCGATGGAAAGTTGAATGCTATTTTTGGGCAAACAGTGGAAAGCATCTCAACCAATATTCAATACAATAAAAGGAAATTGATCAAAATACCCACAAGAGTTGAGATATTTAATATTTCAATCATTACTAACTGCTTCAACTCAAGATCATGTGTTTTTTTTATGGATATTTTTAATTGAATTAGAAGATACACATAAAATAGTAAATACTTCATCTATTATGAATAATTTGATAAATTCCCCTGGAATCAATTCAACTTTGTGTGAGAGGTTCATCAACACTGCTCCTAGAAAAGCACCTCAAATCCCTCAGCCTCAACAACAAATAAACAACAATCCCACACACAAACCCCAAGGCAGCACTGGACCCAACCATTGAAACTGAGGTCACAACCAGCATCACAAATGACTCCTCCTTGGAACCCATGTCCCTGCAAGCCATGGCCAACTCAATACCAGCAAACAACAACAAAACTCCCAGTAGACCAACTGGAAATTCATTCAATATCATCACAAATGAGTTTCCAAGCACAACCCCAAGTACCAACTTAGCCAAACCCAATAGAGCTACACTAGCCCCACTCCTAGCCCCAAACTTGTACTGACCAGCCAAGCCCCCAGCTCCATGGCAGCAGGGCATGGCACCAAACCAGCACCCAACCAGGTTCATCAAACCCACACTCACCGACACCGACGTCGCCGAGAAATCCTTCCCGGGGAACAGATCGCTCGATAGCTTGCATACCGCGATCACCGAGTTCAGCACCGACAGCGGGATCTGCGGGATAGCGGCCTTCACGATCCCATCCCTCCATTCTTTCTTGGTTATGTGCACAATGCTGAGGCTGGATGGCCCAAATTTGAGGTGCTTTATGATACTGGGATCTCTTATAATTGCAATCACTATGCCCATCAAGAACACAATCATAGCACTTGGAATCCCACTCAATTTCCTCATGAACTCGGGCTGCCTCCTCATAACAGTATGAACCCCACTAGGACCACCACTGCTACTCTTATTCTTATTAAACCGAAACCAATGAATAGGAAATATTCTCCTATTCGTACTACAATTATCACTGATATTAGTAGAACTACCTGTTGCAGTGATCGTGGTGTTGTTATCATGAGAAGAATTATTAGGGTTAGGGTTAGGGTTTGTAATTGTGGTAGGCAGAGCACCACTTTCATCATCTAGGTCAGAATCTTCATCACCAGCTCCATTGACAATAACAATGAAGCAGAGAGAAACTAGGGCAAGAACCAGGCCATCGAGCCCTAGCCATGGCCGAGTGCCGGTGCTCTTCCCAGTTGAGAAATTCTGCTTATTTCTCACATATTTCACAGCAGTTAGGGCAAAAGCTAATCCTTGAGAGAGCTGAACTCCTCGAACAACTGGTAATGGAATCAGAGCATAGGCGAGCCTCATCAATCCAGTGATCCCAAGCAGAAATAGGGTGGACGCCGTGAAAATTCCAGCCGCCATGATTTCACCCACTGTGAAGCTTTTACCTGTGCTCACCGCTACAGAGGCTATGCTCTTCATAGGTTGTACGGGCATTGGGACTCCAAAGAAAACACCAGTGATTATGTTGTAGAGGCCGGTGAAAATTAGAGTTATGCTGAGGTCGAGGCCATTGACCAGGGTTACAGCTATGATGATGGGAATGAAGGTGCCAAGGTCACCCATGGCACCATTGATTTCCGGCAACGGTCGCCGGATAACCAGGTTTTCAGAAATTTTCTGGCGAATGCGCACCGGAAAACCGGCTTGAGGAGCTGTTTCCGTGGGAAATGGGTGGTATTCGGGGCCGGTTTCGGTGGAGGGGTGGGTTTGAGCCATGGCTAAAGCGGTTTTGAAGAGTGGTTATTGGCCCGGGGGGAGGGGTTTTATAGCTCCGTCAAGAGCGAGGGCCCAAGTTAGAAGTTTAGGCCTTCTTTGAGTCCCAATCAATTTTCTGAATCTCATTTGGATCCCGATGAAATTTTGAAGTGGCTTTGGAGCTTTGACTTTGCTTGGAATATATTTTATTTTTAAGAAAAATGGTGGATACCTTTTAAATGTACTTTATAGATATTTAATCTCTCAATCTTTTTTATATTACACTCTTAACCTAATTACTATTTTTTTTCGTTTTTACCTGGTCAAAAAGTTAATATCTTAAAAGCTAAACTACCATTTCAATCTTCTCTTATTCGATAAAGCTCTCTCCGAATTGGAAAGTGCGGTCCGGCTCAGACTTCAAATTCTAGAAGGCTCACTACCAGCGTGGCACACTTTTGTGCTAGGCCGTATTTTTTTATTGTTTTTTCCACGGTTCGACAAGAAATGTGCCGGACCAGAAAAACATGACAAAAAATGTGCTCCTGTAGTAAATGTGTATGATCGCAAGAACATGGCAAAAAATGTGATCTGATATAAAATATGTAGAAAATATGTATGATCGCAAGAACATAGGCAAAAAATGTGGTCTGATATAAAATATGCCAGACCGACTTGTAGTTTCCTATGACTTGTTCGGCACACGTTTTTGCCAAACCGATTTTTTTGTCTATGTTCTTATGATCCGGCACTTGTTTTGTTGTGCCTATGCCAAACCGCATTTTTTTGGCAGATTCTGTCGGTCTTGCAAATTTTGGGCCGAACTGAGTACCTTTTTGGCTTTGATCGGTGTGCCACCTGAGTTGACAAAAATGTGAGGGTACGAGTACAAAAATGGGTAGTTTCGTTATAAAAATTACTGCTATTTTTACTTGGGGGATAAAATCAAGGAAAATGACTATTAGGTTAAGGATTTGACGTGAAAAGTATTAGGGGTTTAGATGTCTATAAAGTATATTTCAAGGGGATATTGCCTTTTTATTTTCGTACATATTTTACAAATTTATTTGACAGTTCTTTCAACTAGGGCACGTTTGGTATGTATGAAAATATTTTCATGAAAGTATTCTCACATAAAAATAACTCCCCCTATGTGATTAGGTATGAAAGTTTTTTCATAGCAATTAGTTGCCAATTGATGTGAATAAATACATTGGGACCAATTGGTGCGAAAAAACTCTCAAATCTAATTACTTGGGGGAGTTCTTTCATGGGAAAATACTCTCATGCCTACTAAACGTGAAAGTTTGCATATATACTTTCTTTATTTTTTTGTAGTTTTAAATATATCCTTTATACTTTATGCTCTACTGTCCCATTTTTTAAGAGCACAATTAATATTTTAATTTTAGCTTCTTTTTTCCTTTTTTTTTTTATACAGCTTTTGGGTGACTGTTCTTCTCACCAATATGCATATGTAAAATATATAAAAACAATAAAATTAAATTAAAATCACTAAAATATCATGTACAAATTTTAGCGTATTATGGTTATTTTATGAATTTAATTTTGTTATTTTATATTGTAAAAGTGCATTATAGTGCAAAGTATAGACATACAAAATTTTAGTTTGATTTGATATAAAGGTCAAAAATATAGAGTTGAAATACTAGATGTGGTCTTAAAAAATATGGCCAAAATATAAAGAAAAGTATATACTAGGAGACCTTCTATTTTTAGTACAAGAAGGTTATAATCATCCATAGCCATTAGATTTTAAAATTGAACAATTAAAAACAATATACTAAGTTCGAGAACAAAAATTATTGAGGATTGTGTATAATCAATGGCCATTTGATTTTAAATTTAATGGCTAGAAATAAGTTTGACCTCTTTGTGTCAAAAGTAAATAATCAAACAAATAGGACATATTGAGGACATTTTGAAAATTTTGTAGTGGATATATACATAAATTTCTCTAAAAGTTTTAAGTTTGAATTTGGAGTAGCATGTTTCACCTCTTATTTAGGTCTAGACCATCTACGAGGTACACGAATGGAAATTATGTTATATATGCTAAAAAAATATAACATTTTATTTAAAAATTTATCAAAATACCCATAATTTGTCAACTATTTAATATTTTACTCATTCGTAACTATTCCAATCCATGATCATACATATTTGTATAAGATTTTTGAAATTTAATCAAACATGATAAAAAATTAAATAAAGTTTATATAGTGCATTAACGCTATACTATGGAAGTACGGCACACCTCAAAACCCACTGGGACAAGGTTGTGAAAGTGGTAAAAAATAAAGGTTGCTCTGAAGCTTAAAAAAGAAAAAAAAAAAAAAAAAAGAACATTGATTGATCTTCTCAACCACAGAGATATATCAATATGGAAAAAAAATAATATAGAATGCGATCATTTACCTTTGGTATAATGTGGTCACAATTAATTTTAACTATTGGATGTGAATTTGGATGACTGCATTTATTTTATTGACTAAACTCAAGCTTCAAATAAAATTTTCTCGAATTTTGTAACACGCCAAAGCTATCAAATGTCACATCGGATGATTGTAAGTAATTGGGACCACCTTGTATCAAAAGTAAATGGTTATATAATCCCTATGGAAAAAAAGATTTTAAAAGTTAAAAATAATGTATTTTGTAACATATTAGATATTAGGTTTTGCCGTTTGTATCAATTTTAGAGCTTTAAATTTAATAATTATGGGTGAAAATAGATTTTTGGGCTATCATAAGCATTTCTAACTCTAGAATTGCATCTTTCGACAATGTTTGAAGTCACACCTTATTTCAATTATTTATGGTTGACACCTTGTATAAACCACACCCTAAAATATTTAAACTCCCATATGTATTTTGAGAAGTTTTCTTTTTTATTCATAAATAATAAGTTTATGAACATATTTAGTATTGGCCCTTTAGACTGAAGAACTAGACATCTTTGGCACTGTTAGACATGCTTCATGTAACCTTGCTTTCTAGACCCTAAAAATTCATTACATTGGCGGCCCTATATAATACTATGGTGTTAAGTTTTTCGGATTTAAATATTTTAAATAGAAAAAGTTTTATAGTTCTTCCAAGGTTGGACATTTATTCCCATGGAGGCTTTACGTCCTTTTGTACAATTCTAGGGTAAAGCTCTCATTTTTCATATATCACCAGTGCCAGATATTACAAGTATTTCGGTAAATTTCTAAAGCTATAGTTTGATGGGCTTGTTTCTTGATTTTGTCACTCCCTTCATTTCACAAGACAATGTCATTGTCTCCTTTGGAAAGCTTTTTTAATTTCTTGTACATGTTCTCCTCTATGATGTATACTTTCTTTTGTTATTATCAATAAAAACAAAAGGACGGTCGCCATCTCCACTGTTTTACCCCCCCAAAAAACTAAAAAAAAGTTAAACCAACTACCCCCCCCCCAAAAAAAACCAAAAAAAGAAAAGAAAAATTGTTTGTGTGCTTAAATGGCGAAGTCAAGCTTGGGGAAGGGGGGATAATGATGGGAACAAATAGGGAATATAATTGACCAAGTTGCAAGATCCCTCTTCGATTTTGAGAAAATTAATTGTATCAATGGTGTATAGTTTGTACATGGGTGACTTTGCATGATGCTATGTTGTAAAAATATGCCTGTAGCTCACTTATCACAAATGACCGCCCATAAGTTCTCATGGGAGCATATTGTACATCTATTCCCTCGGACAAAATACCTATTTGGGAAGTTGTTTTTACCCTCAAAATTTGGAATTTTAGAAACGAGCTAAGAATCCCTTGATGATTGTTTTCAAAAGAGAAATTTTGAAGTTTGAGTTTCAGTTAACACGTAGATCTCAACCTCAAAAAATAAGACAATCTCTATTGAATCTTGAGACATTATCTTTTTCAAGTGTATCTAGTATACGATTTGGGATTATTTTTCGTTTTCTTTGGCATTAGAATATAGAATGAAGAGGTTATATTTATAAAATTTGGGGTCCTATAATTTATTTTAGAATGGATTTTAGCTAAGGGAGTAAATGACTAAAATGCTCCCATGGGAACATGAATCTTCTGCATCACAATATGCTTCAGCCTATATATTTAGAGGTGATGAAGCACCAATCATTTTCATATTCTACTTTTAAATGTCAAAAGATTCTGTGCTAACGTAGGCATTACCTATCCATTCAATCCCTCGCAAATGGTGAATTTAATAGAGAGAAAAAGGCAAAAAAAAAAGGGCATATAAAACATTGCGTGAGGAACAATAATGAAAAACATTTAAAAAGATATCGTTCAATTTCAAAATGACGAATCTAATACGTATCTCAAGTCTCTAGTATGTTGGTCCTAAGATATTTATCAATTATCTAGTATGCCGCTCTGAAATATCTACAATGATCATGATATTGCCCGTACCACTTACAACATTAATAGGTGAGGTTCTATAGTATTTTGCTATCACTTTCTAAAATCCAACAAACAATTACAATTGTTTGATAGTATTTGAATTTAAATATTTTTATAAATTAAATTTATTACAAATTGTGTGGCTATTTACAGCTTAGTGAAACGCATCTAAATAAAATATTAAAAATAATTTAAATAAAAAATAACCAAATTATCTCTATGAATATTTCAAAGGTATTTTTGTCATCTTATTTTTTGATAATTTTTTAATATTTTATTTTGCTTTGATGTTTGTTAAAAACGGTGTTACCTAAATTTTTTGAGTGATGACATTTTTTACAATATGTAAAACATCTTTACTAGCTATATAAGTAGAGCCATTAATTTCAAATTAAAAGTTTGCAAATTCAACTCCAATAAACAACAATTTACATTTTAGACTATAAACCACAACTTAATTACATAAATTAAAACAAGTATGTATATTATAATGGATTATATCCATAACGATATGAATATGATAATAAAATAATAACATATCCAAAAATATTTATAAAGATATGTATGCCCGATTGCCCATTCATTGAAGGGCATGTACATGCATGTAGGGGTGGCAACGGGTCAGGTTGGATCTAAGTCCAGCCAGACCCGACTTAAAAATTGAAATATCAATCTATTTCATAAATTGAGACCCAAAAAATATTACTAGACCCAAACCCAGACCTGAATAATATTCGAGTCCAAGATTTGGACCCGAACCCAACCCGCCGGATCCAATTTTTGGATCTATACCAGGAGCTATATAATTTCTA